ACTTTTTCCTTTACTTTTTATATACTCATGAAACATCTTTGGGTCTTCCTTTATCTTGCTTGCTAATAATTTTTTATGCCTTCTCTTTGATTTCCTTTTTTCCTTTTCTACTTGGTCCCTGTACTTTCCATACTCCTCTCAGCTATCTGCAGAATTGAGTTTTTTTGTGACTATCAAAAGCTTTCTTTTTCTGTTTAATCTTCCCCTGTATTTTTCTAGATAACCATGTAAGTCGAGATTTGGCAATCATTCTTATTTTTGGAAGGGACAGGTTTGCTTTATGCCCTAAGGGTCTCACTTTTTAGTGCCTGCCACTGGTTTATCACTGATTTTTCCTTTAGCACTCTTGTCCAGGCAACCTCAGCAGAATCACTTCTCAGATTTGTAAAATTTGCCTTCTGGTAATTAAAAACTTTTACTCCTAATTCATTTCTGCCCTTTTCCATAATAATATGAAACGTAACCGAATTGTGGTCACAATCCTGGATACGGTTGCCCACTTCTCACCCACTTGCTCATTTTCATTTCCCAAAACTAAATCCCAAATCGCGTCTCCTCTTGTTGGGCTTGTCACTTTTTAATTTTTTTTTCCCTAGACGCAGTACATGAATTTTTCACCTACAATGCCCTTTATGTTGTTTGAAACCCAGTTGATATCGGGATCATTAATGTCTATTTTTGGTCTCTATTCCTACAGGCCAAAAAAATATAAAATTAAAACCTTGCCTTGGGACTATCAAGTGTTGCTGACAAATTCTTTCTGGGCAGCTGCTCTGCTCATCGTGAACAAATTTTCCATTGCACTCTTTCAACTGGCATCAGGCCCCTCTCAGATACACCTGGGACCTAATACTTGGTTTTGATGACTACCCAGGAAGCTTAAAAAATATAATTGACAAATTTGTCTGTGACCCAAGTGCACACTCAGATTGAGGCTAGTCGTATAATTGATATATTTTTTCATGCCCCAACTATTTTATACCAGGTGATTCAATCCTGCACAAACAAATTTTTAACCAAATAATCTACTCTGAGAAACTATCAGCTAAGCTCAAGCTCACATATGGGCCAGCCCAAGAGAAGACACCTTTGTGTAGCTGTCCATGAGTAGTGCACTGGAATGTCAAGTTTGATTGGGTGCTCAAATTCCTAAAGTGTATTTGCTGCCACTGTGAGGCATTTCATTAATGCCTATTGAACTGTTCTGTACAACTTTATTGTCACTATATATTAAAATAGTTAACCGCATGTTCAACAATTTTTGATTTCCAACAAGCTCTTTTAGGTAAAATTACAATTCTTGCTTTGCTGCAATTTACCACTTCTAAAGCAGGTGGCAAATTGCATATGTAAAGAAAGCAATGATTCTGATCAGAGATTGAAACATTCAGTGGTGTGCCATATAAAGTAGCTAAAAGACATAGCTGAGCTGCTCCTAACCCCATGAAATAATTCAGGCAAGTGGTTTTCTACTATTATGCCTGGTTTGGCACTCCCCAGGGATAATGTGGCACTAATAATTGTTTTGTCTTCAGTTGACTACTTCAATAACTTGCCTGATAATATTTCTACTAAAACAAGATGGAACAGAACATGTAACTATCACTAATAACTATACCTTTGTACTTTAAACTCCTTTGGAAACTCTGGTTACTGTAGAAGTGCAAGTGTCAAAGTGCTTAGCTTGTCCACATAAACCATAAATAATATAGTCCTTCTGATTGCCTGTCTTATACAGATTTTACCAAACTGTCAGGGAAAGTCAGCAGCCAAACAAAAAAATCATTTTGTGTATGAATTCTCCTCATTCCTGTTGCTACAATGTTATAGAAGCTGTCTCGTTATGTGCTACCTCTGAATCAGCAGTCTTGGTAGATGCAGAAAAGCTTGAAGTAGTTGCTATCAGTATTCAGGACCTCCACTTCTTAATAAAACATTGTGGCTAAACAAATGTGTACATCGTCATTAATTGTGTTCGCACATTTAATAGTTTTTTTTTGTATGGCTTGCAGCCCACAGATTATAGAATATGCAGTTGTATATAAAGTTACTTACTTTCTTTCAATCTGCTGTCAATTAAAACATGAGGGAAAAAAAGCTACATGAAGTAACTGTAATAACTGCCTTTGGACAATTGCCACGAAGCATTCTAAACTGTCAGTGCCACATAACAAAAAAACTTATTTGAACTGCACTGTCGGTTCATAAAATAAAGCAGAGACACCCATCTCTCTTTCTGCATCCAAGAATGCAAGTCATTGATATCTATGCCCATTGGGATCTAAACACACTGAAATTAAATTCAGTCAAGCATATTCAGCACGAAGAACGCATTACATCAATGCATTTCCTCCTACAACAGAAACGGAACCAGTGGCATCCTATGCATTTTGATTACTCTTAACATTGTAGAGTGTGGATGAGGTATACAAGATCTGCACTAAATATACAAGCACAGACTTTAATTGTGTTGCCACTTGTTTTGTGGCATCCCACTTATCAATGTAGATGTGTCAGAGTCGTGATCTTTGAAAATCCAGCTATATTGCAAAAAACAACTTCTGCCTAAACGTGTTCTGTAAATGGATCCTACACAAACAATGGAGAAAAATAAGCCAACAAGAATACGATAAATCTCTCTTTTTTGTATCTATGCTGTACTGTATTACACTATTTATAGAAGTATGTCTGAACACTGTATATTACATTGGTTGATGGTAACTCCAAACCTTTAATTGGAAAAAAAAAATGATTTTGCCACATTTCTAACTTTGAAACCTATTCTGTGATATTCAGGAAAAAATGCAAAGATACAGTGCACAAATAAATGAGATCACAAAATGTATTTTTATCTGTTAAACTATATTTGTTATCATTCTTTCAGAATGACTATTTGAAGTTGCATATTGTTCTGGAGGCATATGTGGTTAGCAGAGAGGAAACAAGGAATACGAATAAATGGATTTTTTTCTGAATGGCAGGCAGTGACTAGTAGGATACCAAAAGGATTAGCATTAGGACCCCAGCTATTTACAATATATATCAATGATTTAGATGAGCGAACGAAATGCAATACCAAAATTTCCAGATAAAATCATGCTGGTGGAAGGGTGAATTGTGAGGAGGATGCAGAGATGTTGCAGTGTGATTTGGACAAGCCAAACAAGTTTGTAAATGCCTAACAGATGCAGTATATGTGGATAAATGTGAGATTATCTATTTTGTGCAAAAGTTGGAAGGCAGATTATTACTTGAATGGCTGGAAATTGAGAGAAGGGATTGATCAACAAAACTTGGGTGCCCTTGTGCACCAGTCACTGAAAATAAGCACATAGGTCATAGAATCCCTACAGTGCAGATAGAGGCCATTCAGCCCATCGAGTCTGGACTGACCCTCCAAAGAGTATAACACCCAGTCCCACCTATTCTTGATAGACAACAAATGCATTTAATTACTACGTCCCAAACAAAACTGCGACATTATCAGTTTATTTCAATACATCCAAGTGATGAAAATCAATAATTTTGTCTGCTCTGTCAGCCAACATTCCTTCCTCAACTAGCATCACCAAAAGCAGAGGATAACTGTCCATGTCTTTAATGCATGTAATACCTCGGGAACAGCAAATTTATTTCAAAGTAACTTATTGCATGTAAAGTGGTTTGAGAAACTTCTGAGCTGTAATGCCGTTAAGCCAGACACTCAGCTGTTGCAAAATAACACAGATCTATAGGTTTTATGCAGGAAACAAGTTTGGTTTGATCTGTACTTACAGTTGATTTACTGCAAGCTAAAAGCTGTGTCTCAAATGAATTGCTTCCCATCATCCAAAAGTAAGAATTTGTCATATTTTCTCACTGAAACGTTGTTGCGCAAAGATTACACTGCATATGAATGAATGAAAATAAAAAGGAGACCATAATTAAAGGGTATTAATCTCATTGCCAAGAAAAGTTGAACTTTAAATGTCTGAGGTCACTGAATATGGCAAAATATTGAGCCAACTGTTTCATTCACAAGAAAACTCACAATCAGGTATTTCTAAATCATTAGTCACTTATGTTGAATTGAAAATGAAAAACAAGAACTTGGTAATTAGTTACATTTTATTTTAACTATGTTGTATCGGGAACTGCACTGAGAGTGAAATCTCTAAATATTTTTACAAGTGACCATTGTTTTGAAGGTCACCTCTAAGAATAAAACCTGGGCTTTTTATTCTCATTCATCAGTGTGTTTTAACATTGTCCGTATCCAATTCTTCTGCAGATTGAGGTCATGGGCATGTCTAATCTTTTTGCCAATGCCCAGCTCCTTGTTTCTTCATTTTTAGTGGCCCTGCATATATGCCGGTTGAGAGTTTTTAAAAAAAAGATCATGTGTTAATAGAAGAAATCATTTATTGCCTTTTGGGGGTTTATTTGCCTTATTTTACCTATTCTAACCAGCATTGAGATATGAGCAGAAAAATATGACTAATTAATAAGCTGTAGAAACACGGTGTTGCAATGAATGGAATAAGGGGGAGGCGATGGCCTAGTGGTATAATTCTGGACTGTTAATCCAGAGATCCAGATAATGTTCTGAGGAATTGTTTTGAATCCTGCCATGGCATATCTGGAATTAAGAATCTAATGATGACTATGAATCCATTGTAAATTATCAGGAAAAACCCATCTGGTTCAGTAATGTCCTTTAGGGAAGGAAACTGCCATCCTTACCTGGTCTGGCCTACATGTGATTCCAGACTCTGAGCAATGTGGTTGACTCTTAACTGCCCTCCGGGCAATTAGGGATGGGCAATGCTGCCTGACCAGTGACACCCTCATCCTGTGAATGAATAAAGAGAAAATTACAAAAAGCCATTTGTTTTACTAGGAAGTTTTTTTTTATGCTGACGGAAAATATAAAATTGCCATGACCACTTTTGTTTTTCTACCTAAGTAGCAGGATTATTGAGTAGCTGCAAAAATTACAACTGTCTTTTCTGTGTTTTTTAATGGATAATTACATTTGTTTTGTAATAAATTCCTTAACCACAGTTCACAGCTTTGCCAAGCATGCAAGAGACCAGTATGAAAAACTTTCCAACATGTACAGCAATATGATGAAGTTGTACAAAGGACTGGGTGACTACTTTGTCTTTGATCCCAAAACTGTCAGCATTGATGACTTCTTCATTGATCTCAAAAACTTCAGGTCCATGTTCCTGGTAAGTTTGACAAACCAAGAGAGAATTTTGCCCCTTTTCAAAGATGGAATTTTGTTCACATCTTGTTAATTTATGTATTGAATGTTAACTTTGTATGAAGTCTTTGTCTTTTTTAACACGTCTCAAAGGGTTTTAATGAAAAGAACAAAACAGGATTAGTACAGGGAAATTGAAGAAAGAGAAAATGTTTCCCTCTGCAAAGGTTCAAGCCAACTTCAAAGTCAGTATTTCCTTAAAGGTCTGTTTATAAATATTAAAAAGTCACCTAACCTACTTCAGGAATTTAGTTTGCCAACCACTTGGTGACTTTACAATAACAAAAACACAACAGGCAACATCAGGGTAGCCAAAACCATGGTCAAAAGACGTAGGTTTTAAGGAAAATCATGGAAGATGGAAGAGGCTAAGGACCTTGGAAGTTGAAGGTATGACTTCCTGTGGTGAAATAATTGGAATCAGAGATGCTGACAGTGGACTAAAAGGAATAGGGACAGCCAGCGCCATAGATGGATTTGAAAAGGGTGATAATAATTTTAAAATTAATGCATTCTTTACAGGGAGCCAGTCTGAGTGAGTGAGTGTTTGGATGAAGGCTGGCTGAGACTGTTGAATAAGAATATCACAGATATGTTTGTGTTTTAAATTCTACATTCTTATCAATCCAAAAACTTTTGATTTCCTTGCCTAACAAGAAACTATCTATCCCCACCTTTGACAACATTCACCAAATCCTCCAAAGTTGTAAAACCCTCTGAGGGAAAAAACATTCTTCTCACCCCACGATAGTTATCAACTTGCAACTACAAGGGCAGTCTGTCCAACCTTTCTTTATAAGACAACCTACTCAATTCTGGTTTCAATCTTGTAAACCTCCTTTGAACTAACTGCAAGGCATTTACTTTCTTCCTTTATTAAGAGACCAAACTATGCAGCTTTAGAGATGTGCTCTCACCAATTAATATCCTTACCTTTATATTCAATTATTCTCATAATAAAGAATAGAATTCCATTAGATGTGCTACTGTTAAAGTAAGATTTGAATGACCTCATGTTCGTGGAGGGTAGAATGTGAAAGTCCAACGGGAGTGTGTTGAAAAATCAAAATGAGTGCGATAAGGGTTTAAACATCGGATCGATTGTAGCTGGGGGCAGAATCGATACAAGTGAGTGGGTTGGTAAAGATGCAATGTCAAATATGACACACATTGCAAACAATAGTTCGTATTCAAGGGGAGCAATGCAATCAGTCCCTGCTGAGTCTGTAATTGTGACCAAAGACTGGACTTCACAATATTTAATTGGAGGATTTATTTTTGTGCATTCAGTTTTGGATGTCAAATATACAGTTGGACGAGCAAGAAGAGTGGCACTGAGGTGCAGATTGTTCTGCCAGGATGCATGTAAAAAATTAATATCATAACGGGGCCTGAAAGAGCAGGACATCTGGCTGGTGCGACGTCATAATTAGGCAGGAACTGAATTTTGTTTTACGAATGGTAGATTTAAACTGACCAAACCTTTAATGAGTTCAAGAGCTGAATGACCCAAGAGGAACCCAAACTGAGCCTCAGCAAACAGGTTCTTGCTATGTAAGTGCTGCTCGGTAGTTCTATCGCAGGTTGCCATCGGGACCTAAATAACGTTGTAGAGGTGGAAGCCTGGCTGGAGCAATTCAAGCATGCACTTCAGACAAGTTGGGAATGGATTTGGCAACAATAATACATTTAAGCAGTTGAAGTGAAAAGGATGTTGGAAATGGGTGGTAATTTGTAAGGATGGTGGATGGGTTCAAGTGTTGTCATTTTACGGAGAAGACCACTTACAACATCTTCAAAGTAGAGAAGAACAGGACTAAAAGGGAATCCTGAGGACAAGTTTGGACTATTGAACAGTGGAGTGAAGGAAACAGCAGAGACAAATGCTTTAGTTAGCTCAGTGCTTGTGGCAAAGAAGCTCATGAGTTCCTTGAGTTTGTATTGGAGGTAGGGATAGAATAGAGAGGAGAATTAGCCAAAAGACATTTTTGTAAGTGTAAATAAAGTTCTTCCACTGTCTTAGAGTCACATAGCCCAAAAACAGACTCTTCGGACCAACTTGTCCATGCCAATCAAATTTCCCAAACTAAACAAGTCCCATTTGCCTGTATTTGGCCTGTACCTCTCTAAACCCTTCCTATCCCTGTCCAAATGTCTTTTAAATGTTTTTATATCTTTTAACTGTACCTGCATCTACTACTTCCTCTGGCAATTCAGCTGCTCTCTGTGTAAAATAGTTGCCCCTCTGGTCCCCTTTAAATCTTTCTCCTCTCACCTTACAATTATGCCCTCTGGTTTTGAACTCCCTAACCCTAAGGAAAAGACCTTTGTTATTCATTTTATCTATGCCCCTCATGATTTTATAAACCTCTATAAGGTCACCCCTTAACCTCCTATGCTCCAGTGGAAAAAGTCCCAGCATATCCAGTCTATTTGTCTACCTCAAACCCTCCAGTCCTGGTAACATCCTTGTAAATCTTAACCGTACCCTCTCCAATTTAAAAATATCCTTCCTGTAACAGGGCGTACAGAACTGTACGTTGTACTCCAAAAGTGGCCTCAACAACATCCCGTACATAAGGGACCGAGATTAATTTGAATCTATGACTAATTTATTTGCACATTTTTATTTTCATGAAATATTTAAATTATTCACACACCTTAAGATATTTTGAGATGTAGCAAAACATTTTCATGTTGTACAAAATGCAAAATTGATTTAAAATGTGAAGATATCACTGCATCAGACTTTAAGATTCTGTATTGACATGGTTTTGGGTACAGAATACTTGCATGCTTGTTGGTTCTATTGATGACTAAAAACATGCCCATTCCACTGCAGTGGTAATTTTAAAAAAAAAATATCTTGTGCAGCTCCGGGGTGTTGCAGTGAGTTATCGCTGGTTTAAACAGAGTATTGACACAGCTCTGTTTGTGGATGCTGTGGTGGTTACTGTTTTAATTCAAGATTTGGTCTGTGTGTGTAGTCTTTCTGTATATGCTGGTAAGGAATTCACCACTTAGTTCGTTCCACCATTATGTTGAATTCCTTACTAGCGTATATAGAAAGACTACATCCGCAGACCAAATCCTGAATTAGAAAAGTAATCACCATAGTGTCCACAAACAGAGCTGTGTCCAAGACTGGTTAAACGAGCGATAACTCACTGCAACAACCCGGAGCTGCGCCAAAACGAAGAGGAACACCTATACAGAATCTTTGCAAACGATGGTTATCCAAACAGCTTCGTCCACCAATGCCTGACAAATAAACAATATTAAGAAGACACTGAACGCCCCAACACACTGGTCACCCTACCATCTGTTAGAAACACATCAGAACTGACTATAAAACTCCTACAACCTCTTGGAATAAGGATAGCACACAAACCAACAGCCACACTTTGCCTGTTACTGTCAAGGACAAAAGACTTCATACCCACAATAAGCAGGACAAATGGAATATACAGAATACCATGCAGAAACTGTGAGAAACACTACTTAGGACAGATGGACAGGAAGCTCGCCACCAAGATACATGAACACCAACTTGCTGCAAAACGGCATGACCGATTCTCCCTCGTTTCAATACACTATGACATAGAAGGACACCAATTTAACTGGGACAAAGTTACAGTACGAGGACAAGCAAAACAAAGACAAGTACGAGAATCCCCGGAGGCCTGGTTTTCAACCACCGATACAATTAACAAACGTGTTGAAATAGACCTTATCTACATACAGTACAAAACCGGAAACAAAACTGCCCACTGTGACAGATCGGACCATATAAATTCAGACCGGGACAGAACAACAGTGCTTCAGCGGAGGCTACACAGCACTGACTAGAAGGGAGATGAAATGTTTGAATGAAAACCAGTCAGCTCGGTGAACCAACCAACAACTCCGTACGCAGGTTTTCCGTAAAATACACAGAGTACTAGTCAGGACATACCTAGAAGACTGTCTTGGTTCCATTTTCGAAGAAAATATAAACTGGCATTTGAAGCAGTCCAGAGGAGGCTCACCAGATTGATTCTGAGTATGAAAAGGTTTTCTTACGAGGAGAGGTTTAGTAGATTGGGCCTATACTTATTAGAATTTGGAAGAATGAGATGAGTCCTTACTGAAATACTAAGATTATTAAGGGGTTTGGCAGAGTAGATACAGGGAGGTGGCTTCCTCTTGTGACAGAGTCTAGGACCAGGGGACGTAATCACAGATTAAGAGTCACCCAATTAAGACAGAAATCGGCTCCTTGTTCTGCAACTGGATCCTCAGCTTTCTGACCCACAGACCCCAAGCAGTGAAGACAGGTAACTGCATCTCCTCCACTATAACACTCAACACTGGATCCCCCAAGGATGCGTCCTCAGCTCCCTAATGTACTCACTGTACACTCACGTCTGTGTTGCCAAATTCTGAATGAGTGCCACTGCAAGTTTGCTGATGACACCACCGTAATAAGACGGTTATCTAACGACAACGAGTCAAAATACAGAAGGGATATAGAGGGCTTTAGGACGTGGTACAATGAGAATAATCTCTCTCTCAACGTCTGCAAAATAAAAGAACTGATTATTGATTTCAGAAAGAAAGGAGGAGAACACACCCCCATCTACATCAACGGAACTGAGGTCGAGAAGGTGGGGAGTGTCAACTTCCTCAGAGTGACAATAACTGACAACCTGTCCTGGAATCCCCCTGTAAATGTGACGGTCAAGAAGGCACATCAACGCCTCTTCTTCATCAGGCGGCTCAGGAAATTTGGCAAGTCCATAAGGACCCTCACCAACTTCTGCAGGTGCACCATTGAAAGCATACTGTTTCAGTGCATAGCGGCCTGGTATGGCAATTGCTCTGCCCAGGACGATAAGAAACTACAGAAGGTGGTGTGTACAGCCCAAAACATCACGGAAGCCTTCCATCCATGGACTCCACTTACACAGCTCACTGCTGCTGAAA